TAATGTCTCGCCACGACGGAGGGAGACAAAAATAAAAGGGAAGAAAGGCTCCTTGTGACAAAACGAGAGAGGGTTAAAAAAACGACAAGAGCTTAGGAAAAGATGATGAGGTTGAAATTCAGAGAGCTGACATGAAAAGGAGTCCATTTGTTTTATACGCTGAAACATCGTTGTCAAAGAGGTACAACCGGACGTCTACATCAAAGCAAGTAAAACATTAAGTGTGCAATGACAAAACCTCTTGTATCGGTGCGTGTTGAAACACAAATTAAGTGGATCGTAGGATTGCCCATTAAGAAGTGGCTCTCTGGGCGAGAAAAGAGAAATTCTATTAGAACTAGTCCCTAATTTTCTAGTCTCTGTTCCATTTCATATCATTTTCTCCGATCTACGGAAATGTGTTTTGGGGGGAGCTTGAGGCTGAAAATAAGGGCGGGGTGAACAGGTGTTGGGCAATTGTTCCAATCCTCGGTGGTCATCAATTTTCCGGGCAAAACTACTGTTTCACATAATTAATATATCACCTTGAGTGCATTCCCTTGTTTTTTCCGTCAAAATTTTTGTAAGACTCTTAAAAATTCGAGCCAACAACGAATTATTTCCCCGAATGTCTGAGTATTTGGAGTGATATACAGCTTTTTATCAGTCATGTCTTGTAACCCCCATCTCCTGCAAAAATAAATGAATCGTATATGTAGGTGTCGCGTATTACTCACGAGTTCCTGAAAGTTGTTTGACATCATGGCGTGCGACGGAATGTATGAGGTGACAAGGAGAATCACTCGATCCTCCCGAGAATTGTGTGGCGCCTAACTGTGATGAGTGATAAAAAGAAGGAGGAAAATATTCAGTGGCTTTCAATTGCACTAGTGATGACATTGTGACTAATGACCCTGAGACTCAGAGGATACGCGCTGTCACTCGCCAGTCGTTGGCTTTCGAAAGAATTTTATTATCCGCTGTAGGTCCATTTTTTCATCGGCTCACTTCTTCGAAATATTTTTCCCCGCGTTATTTCTAGTATCTCGGACAGATGGGAATTTATGAGGTGCTTTCTTTTTATTGGTGAAGTGGGAGAAATTAAATAGCCTCGGGAAATTTAATTGAGGCATCCGGTTGCATCGAGCATTAGTTATTGATCATAAAATTAGAGGGAAATGTTGAGCAGGCGTTGGAACTGCGTCAGGTGCTGGAGCCCAAATGGGAGCATTGAGTTGAGTCATTTGGAAAATTTCGGTTACATCCAATCTAGAGGTGTTGCAGGGACCACCCATTGGGCGTTGGAAACCTTCAGTCAGTTTTTCATGGAGGTTTCGTATCCCTTTTGCCCTTTGTTGGCTGCATATAAGTTTGTCTTTGTCTTAAACAGTAATAACCTCGTACCAGGTGGCACACGGGTCTCGTCCTCTCACCCAACACCCCGGGAAGTCCTAATGAAGACGAATCTCACCTCGAAAAATGACCACCAAATTCACTTCCTGGCAATTCAATTTGAACGCGAGGCGATAAGAATCCTCCAGGTTTATCTCGGCCGGGATATAAGAGATTTTTTGAAGGACTTTAGAATAGAAAACGAAAAAAAGAGAGGAAATCGCACGGCATTGGGGGTAGAAGATCATTACTGGCTAAGGAAATTTGCATTTGTCGGCGCGAGTCTTTTATTACCAATGGAATTCCGCTCTACGCTTTATTCCCGACACATTAGCACAGATGAGATTGATATCGTGGTATTCCCTGGCTAAACCATGCAAATTAATTTCCACAGGACCTACCAAGGATTTCGCAAAAGCCCATTTGATTTGAGCACTTGACTTCCGATTCCAAGATTTATCGCCTCATTGTGTAAAAATTTTGGTCTGAATTTTTTGTGCCAAATTCCGGAAATTTTTATTGTTTTGCAATTCCACGGAAAAACAGAGCTGTCAATTTCCATTCCATTTTTCCCTGGAAATGAATGAAAAACCAAAAAATTCTGGTAAATATATTTTTGAATTTTCAGGACAGTGAAATATTAGATGGGACATTCAAATAAATTAAGGAATTCTCACTGTCATCCCACGAACCGTACATGAGCTATTAGCGGATTTTTCTCGCTTTCCAGAATTTATATGCACCATTATTCACCTATCGACCTCATTGGCATTTCCATATCAGAAACCGATCTGATATTCCCTGAGAATTGTAGTGTATAGGCCTGACATCAATACACACAGCACGAACATTATCACAATGGGTTATTTGAAGAGCAGACAGTCCGAAGACGTCAGAGCACTCCTCTTGGCCTTACATATTACAGGTTATGTAAAAAAATATCGATCAAACCAAAAGCCGTCTCTACATTCTGGAAAAGATGTCTCGGCAATTGTAAGCCTCCCTTCTCCATATTGATTTGTGCAGTCAGTGCAGAGGTGAATAGTACAAGAGCTGGAGAAAGGGACTCTGGTGTGAAGCTAGCCACCATGAAGACACAATCGTGAAGCGAAAATCAAGACGATAAATCTCTGACGTGGTATGCCTGTAGGGCTAAACGACTAAATAAGTGTTCCAATTTCAAAATTACCCGCTAAACGATTTGTGGCCCGGCAGAAAATATATCGTTGACATGTGGCCAAAGGTCCCCACTGCGCTTCCAGCCTCGGGGTTGGGTATCAGTGGATAGGGAGATACAAGGCGAAAGAGAGAGAGAGAGAGAGAGAAAGAGAGAAAAAAAACACGTGAAAAGGGAGTTGGGAGGGGAGGAATTGGCTCCTGGGGAACGCCACCAACAAGAAATGTATGTGCCATCTTTCTTTTACATCCAAGAGTCAACCGAGTGTGGAGACAAATGGTTGTCTTCTCTCCCTTGTGCGACCTTCGTTGGAGGAGACTCTTGGACGAAATTGCCTCGTGAAGCTGCCCAATTCAGGCGTGTCACTTTTCACTCGCTCGAGTGTCCGCCAATCTTCCGGGTGTTCCGACTCGAAAGTAATGATAGACGTAAAAAATGGACGTTTTTTTTCCTACTTTCGACATTATTAGCCTTCATGTGCGCATAAATTCATTCATATGGAGTTTTTACGGTTCAGTGAAAGGTAACATTAGATGCAATGTTGAAAGAAAAGTTGGCCATTAGATTGAAACGTAATCAGATAATTAAATTCATTGTTTCATTGAAGTGGAAACAATGATAATTTTCAGTCGTGGGTAATAAATATCTATGGCTACACGATTTCGCTCGTTTTGCACTGTCAAGCATGCAGTGAAAGAGCATTTTTTTAAGTATACGAAAATGAGCTAACGAGAACCCGTTAGCAAATCGTTTCTATAAAAGGGCGTACGTACATGCATTTAAGTTGTCTCGTTCTTTTTATCGTTGAATCACCGGTGCGTTACGAATTGCCTGTGAGTAATTCGACTGAAACGAAAATGGCGCTCACGTTGAATTGTACATAATTGAATAGTGGAAATTTGTCTTCCTACGGATAAAAAAAAGCAAGGGAGAGAGAGTGTACATTTACAGTTAGAGACATCACGGGAAAAATCCAATAGAGGATTTTGGTTGGTTTAATTTTCATGAATATGTTGCACTTCATCATAAATCTTAATAGCCGTTGTGGTATCTACACAGTTAATTGAATAATTAAAATTTCTCTTCATTTTACGATGGACCGGAGGTATGAAAATTTCCTATGATTGAGGGAAAATCCTCCAAATGAAACAACAGATTAAATCGTAAAGTGATAAAGGTAGCACCGGGCTTCTAAATACAAATCAGTAGGGAAACTTGTATGCCGTGGCACGATACTGGCGGCAGATTCATAAACATCAAACGAATTAAATCTCCACGGAGACTCTGACCGCAGAAACTAATATCTCAGCGCCTCTGCGCGAACATCACTGCATCCTCCTCCATCCCAGGGTTGATAGCGTATGGCTTTTCCCCTTATTCACAGTCGCCATCTCACTCATCGTTTGGCAAAGAGTCGCTCTACAGTGTGAGCAAGAGAGACAGTCAGAGGCGAATACAGGGAATGATCTCCCTCATCCCAGCTTCTCTTCCTCATGCTGTTCTACCTGTTAATAGTCGCGCGGCAAAATGGAGGCTCTTTTGGAGAGGAGCTCAGCGCGAGCTCGTTCGATTACTCTGGGCTAGCTTTTGTTGGCCAACACAAAGCGACCAAATTTTATAGCTAAGGTAGATATGAGAGACTGGAGAAAAAGTTGGTCAGGTGCATTATGCAAGAGGTTCTCTGTGTTGAGGATGATAATAAACAGAATGACAAAGGAACAATCCGATACGCACGGCCCTCAATCACTCGATAGTTTCCACGACGTTGTGGTCTCGAATCGTTATCCTTATTACGAGGCTCGTTCTCAGTTCTGTATCGTTCGATCAAAAAATTCGATAATAAAATTAAAAGCACAAGCATCGCAATGGAGAGGAAATTGAGAAATTTACCACTAAAATTTGGCTTTCCTGTGGTAAAAGAAACGCATTAGTGCACTTGCCCTCGAAAAGTAGCCACTGATGAGTCATATAGCGCTCGATTCCCGACAATCTTCGTAATGTCTTATAAGCTCGAAAAAGGTGAATTTAATTTTTGGTAGGGAATGTACACGCGGGTTGTGCAGGTGTGACCGATGGCGGCGGCCTTTGATCCAACAAACGACGCGGCTACTTTGTCCAAGAGTGCACCTCTCTTCGTTTCGTTATAAACATTTCTCTCTTCCACCCATTTTGGTTCAACTCTACTGTCTCAAACCGATTATATTGCCCCGTATGCAACACCTTCACTAGCGCAGAATAGCAAGATCTACTGGCATCAAACGTCGGTTTTCCAAGCCATCATATTCCATCCAAGATCCTCAGAATTGCAGAGGATTCTTTGAAATTTTGCGCTTTCATGTGACTTTTACAGGGACATTGCGAGATGTATGATTTGTGGTTGGCTTTTACACACCTTTAAAGCGTAAAACGGCTGAATGTAGGAAGCTAATAATTTTCCTCTTATCTGTTACAGAGCAAGCGAATCACCTGAACCTATTCAACAATCGGCAACAGCCCAAGAAGAAACGCAAGAGTCGAACTGCCTTTACGAATCAACAGATTTTCGAGTTGGAGAAGAGATTTTTGTATCAGAAATATCTGAGTCCCGCCGATAGGGACGAAATAGCCGCCCAATTGGGCCTGAGCAATGCCCAAGTGATAACGTGGTTCCAAAACAGAAGGGCCAAATTGAAGAGGGACATGGAGGAACTCAAGAAGGACGTACAGACTGTTAATCCGATGATGGTTGCACAACATCATAAAACCTTTTTGGAGAATGTCCAGGATCTTGGAATACTGAAGAAACGACCATTACCAAGTTCCATAGATGAAAAATCTTAAAAATTATTTCAAAAAGTGATTAATAAAATTAATTCTGAGACACTAAAGTCTCAATTCTGCCAGTAAATACTGCATCGGGCGTGATGATTATCATATTGTGAATATAACAAAGATTAACTTGAAGTCTGCACAGTCGGCTGCGCCGTTGCAGCGAGACATTCATGTATATAAAGTTTTTTAATATGTATTATAATGTAATTTATTAAAAACGAAGATTTCTTCAAACCAATAATTAAATTATTAGTGATGGTACTGTAGAAAATGGTAAATTATAAAAACCCTGATGTTCCACCGAAAAATTGTTTTTTAGGGTGTGAATCAAAATGAAATGTACATATTCTGTAAATAGGTAATGCATCGAAAATAATGAAAACAGTGACAAGAAAAAAAAGTATTTCATTAGTCAGATTTTCTGATAATTATGTAACGTATAATGGAATTCATTCGTAATATACCATTTGATTAAAGAATTATAAAAGAATAGATGGGACACTGCGCAATATATCCTTATAATTGTCAGTTTCAATTAGATGCTTTTTTGTCAAGTCTTTTTGAGAAAAAAAAACATTGTGAAACAAAAACCAAACTGGCTTGTAATTTTCTTTTTCTTAAGAAAACCACAAAAACAAATAAAAGGGAGAGAGTATAAAAAATGTGTACAACAATTCAGACAAGAAATAAATGAAGATACGGTAAATGATAAAAATCAAGTTTAATTAATAATCTAAAAAGCTCTCTCATATGAAATAGTCCAAAGTGTGATTTCGTGGGTAATGACGCGTTAATGAAAGAAAAAAAAATATGAAGAAGTAAAAAAGAATAAAATACTGCAGTCGAACGACAGAGAAACACGCGAGGCGATTATTTCATCCTCGAAATAACGCTTATGGTGTGTTGTAGTGGTGTGAAGAGAGCCTACGTTCCGGGAATCCCACAAGCTTTTAAAACGACCTGCTCTGGGGTGTGATCTTTTTCTGCCGTCTTGTGAATTCATTTGGAGCTTTACACTGGAGGTAAATTTTACGCAACTAAAGTGCATCTGGAATATAGCATATTGGGGCAAATGTCTCGGCTGACATAACATGAGTCGCCGGATGTTACTGATGCAAATTTCGCGAAACACGTCTTCCGCATTGCCGGAAACACAAATTACATTATTTCAAATTGAGATGAGATGTGAAAATGCCAAGGAAAAACTGACATACGCTTGATAACTATTGTCCACCATCAATACCAGGTTCCTGTTTTATTTGTCATAACTTCTTCGCAAAGTGCAAGAGATGTGTAAGTATAGCTTTTACCCTTCATGGACTTCACCATGACAATATGTATACCCTCTCGGATTTTCGCAATTTGCTCCCCTCTCCATTATTATCACCTAATGATACAGAAACATAAAAAGTAGTGCAATACATAATTTTCCCCCCGTTGCCACACTGGTGGTTCCAATATATTGAAACAAAGTATGACGGTCTTCATACGAGGGAGGGAAAGTCCAGTGCCCGGGGTTTTTAAAAATGCGTGGTTATTATCCCCTCAGGGGTTGTGTCCATTGGTCTTCGAAGAACAGGGAAAGGTGCTAGCGAACGGGAATTTTCAAGTAATAATTGATAACGAATCGTTGCGATACCGCTTCGAAGGTTTGATTGACGATTTGATGATTTTAATTGCAAGGAGTCCAGGGTGCTGTTGTATTACGAATGGATTGGCACCAGAATTGGCAACCCCTTTGGCTTCTTGGAATACCCTCAGCAGGCGTTAGTTCACCTCTGATCGTCATCCTCCCAAAAAATTGTCGCAAAATATAACCACAGTCCAAATGAACCCCTCACAAACTGTCCCCGATAATTTCAATGGAAACCCTCAATTTATTCTCAAAAAGTGACCAAGTTCCCCTCGCACGTGTGCCCCCTCGCTACTCCATCCATTGCGGTAATTGTACGTTACAATGAGAAATAATTCCCATGTTAATTAAGATTAAACGTTGGAATGAAGATACATATCAAATGGTAAAAAGATGTAATACACTAGACTCGATAATTACTTTATCAGAGACGTGTGGAGGCAGTATATCTAGTTGATTGCATCCTCGTGCAAAGTAAATGGACCAATATTAGTTTTTTCCACTCGTGCCTGCCAGAATGAAGGAACATAGAACCCTCTGGACATTGTTACGTGTATATTTTTTTCTTCATCGCGTGCTCACTATTTTGTTTGGTATAAGTGCGACGGTAGTTCGTAGCCATCGCTAATATCGACGTTCAGACACCATGTATGAAGCAGTAAGCAAGGTAGCCCATGCCGCCCTGTAATTCAAACGCCGCTGCATCCAAATAAAGAATTCATAATGGCGATGATGATCACCACCAATTTTCTCGAAATATATTTCGATTCACCAATAACTCAACCAATCTGATACTCTTTCCCGTGTGAGTACATCATGAGACAACAGATTCAACATTTCATTTTACCAAGACAATAAATTTATAATTCAATGCATATAATGATGATTATTACAGCGCTGTGATGCCACCGAAATCATCCAAAGTACTTGGACATTAACGACTCGTTGGTGAATGTACAACGATATATCGCTTTATCTGCTCAAAGATCCACCACTTAACGGTTATAAACTATCACTTTGCATAACATCATTGGATATCGACACGCCTCCGTAATTCGGAATCATTTACCCGTTGACTGGTGTACATATACTGGTAGCAGTTATGTATTTGTCTCACTCCTCTTCATTTTCACATGTCAGTCAAGATGTAGCCCATTAGACGATACTCGATCCGTAATTTCCGATGTACATAACACGCGAGGAGCAACTTTTCAATAATTAGACGTGCCTCCCTAATCATATGCTTCATCAATACCTGAGTTTGTTGATGCTGAATTATTGCAGAGAGCATCAGCAATCACGAGAGCTGAGGGTAAACACTGGCATCTGAATACCCTTGGCTATATGGGAGATACACCGGAGACAATTTAGAAGGGGTTGTGTGGTGACTCGTTGTCGTGGCGAATGAGACAGCTGATGGGCCACCGTGTCCCTCGAGGCTATAGCCGAGATGGCCAATCAGTGTAGGGCCGTCAAGTCCCGTCCTCACTCTAATGACACCTAGCGGCTAAAAAGCCATGATATTGGACAATTGGCCCAGCACCAACAAATTACTCCCCTGACGTGCATCATAATCTTCTGTATGCATTAGCCATTGCACGAAACAATTGATCAGTAAAAATGTGACGTCCTGGAGTCATCAATACTGGCTGGTTGGTCCAGTTGTACGAGAGAGTTGAAAGTATATTATAGGTGGCATAGGTTAATGGTAAGAGGGTCTCGCGCACGCTCGGCGTACCTGCCAAGAAGAGACCCAAGCGGCTTTAGGCTCCTGATTACAGAGCTCAACAGGCGCGATCCCTTGTACACTCTCGCTCTCACCTTTGTGGGACTATCGTCGTATTAGCCTCTCTGTTATTCCTGGCTATATAAGTCTATGGATCAACCGACGCCCAAGCATCAGTTCAACTCTTGCGTTAAACTAATGTGCCCCATATATATGTAGTATATCAAGAGGTGTTGCAAGTTGTCTCGCAAAGGTGGTCCTTGAGAAAATTTTCCATCTCAATTAATTTGCGAATTAATAATCCCCAGTTGTTGCTCTGAAAAATGAGTAGACGAGTGGATAGAGAAATATGTGATGGCCTGATGGGAGCAGTGGAGACCACCCGTCAATTGCAGGCGTGGCACAATCATGCGGATGGAGTCGCCATCCTATATATCTTCCTTTTGTTCTCTCCTCCCCGTGTATCAATTGCTACCCAAAATTCTCATAATTGTAGACCGCTATTAGACCAAATTGATTCTTCACCTTGCGCGGTATAATACATGTGGCATCCTCATGTGTTATTATAATTACACACAGACACACACACACTCCGGCCGTCTTTTCAGCTATTTGAATCTTTTTCCTATTTGCCTCCTAGGCAAGGAGCCTTTGTTATCCGAGTTTTTGTACTTATATACAAAGAGGTAACGTGTACATCTCTAACGTGCACAACACGAGACGACGCTACACACGTCTGGCAGTCACCCGGTGGCGTGTGTGCGGCGGCAAGACGAGCCCAGATTAGAGGCCACTGGGATAATTAAGTAGCGCTCTCGAATAACGCGCAGGTACTGAGTTTCAGAAACTACGATGATATTTTAGAACAATAACTTGTGATGAAGAGATGATTCATTTTATTTTGCGCGAAAAAAAAATTGAACAATTGCCCGGGCCCTCTGGTCTCAAATGGTTCCAAAAATATTTCGCGATAAGAGAGAAAGTTGTGTTTTTGCATAATACATAGTGAAAAATGTAATAAAATCATTTGAAAGAGTAGAGGTGTGATTTTGACGTGTCTGAAAAGAGTTGGCCACAGAAACTCAACAAGAAAAACAGAAATAATATAATACACTGGATAAAGTGAGAGGTGTAGATGAGTAAAGATGAGGAGGGGGTAAGAAAGGCTGGAGAAATCGGGTGGGGAGGAAGATCAAACGAGCCGACGAGCCACGGGGTGGTCTCTACCCGCGTTCCTTTTTCCACTCTTCCTTCTCCATCGCCGTTCAAAGCCGCGGCCGTACCTCATACTATATCCAACTCCTTTTATACCTATATTATTCATATTTTCACCTTACAACTTGTCGTACACCATCAGTGTAGACGAATATTTTCCGTTTATCCTCATCAACTGATGGCCAAAAGAGCAGGCCTGCATTGACATCTAGAGCGAGGAAAATGCGTAGAATTCTCTAATCATCGTTACACACCCAATTCCGATGACGTGATTTTAATAATAAATTTCCAACAAATCACGCGGGGGTTAGGTCGCTATTTTAGGGTGGGGGATGATTTTAGTTGCAAATGCACGAAGCGCCGGGAGATCCGACAAAGGCCTCAAAAGAAAGACCGCGCGTCGCCGTCCACCTCCCCTCGAGGCATATATAACATATACATGAGAGAAGTTTAAAATGTGTAGGCACATATTCACTCCTTCTCTCCCTCCTCCTGTGGCAATCACTTGTGAGCGTCTCTCTGTTATTTCTCCACACCTTAGCCATTATCATACAAACGTCGATGATGAGCGTCACACCGGAAAAAGCTTGAGCCTCGGCGACAAGAGGGCAGAAATGATCTCAAGCCTTTCATGTTCCAATGCTTTGTAGAGCTGTGATAGCCCACTGAAAGGAGTTAAAATTTGAGAAAGAATAGGGGACCAGGTGGTGAGAAATTAGTGGAAAGAGCTCAGGATTGAAGGGAGAGCCTAATAACGCTCACCGGATGCTATCGACGATGTTCCAACACCTCTTGTTCTCGCAGCCCTATCATTTTTTTTCTCCCTGACCAAAGAGGTAGAGAGGGGGGGAGGAAGGGAAGGAGGCCGGTTCGTATTACCCTGGGCATCTATAGCTCAATTTGCCGACACCTCGCTAAGTATAGGTTGGGTGGGTGGTCCTTGCCATGGCACCCACGAGGCTCACGCGCGAGAGGGCTTCTCACTTCAGCTAATCCACTTTGGAAATCATCGGATTAGGCATAAGAAAAATTTATCCC